TTGCACCATCACATGCCAGCGCCATAATCCAGCTTGGACTGCCTGTGGTTAGGTGGCAAAACAATAAAATCCCTGTGCTCTTGGGAATTGAATTCTTTCTCATGTAAAACAATTGTTTTGTTCCTGCCATCTAACATGGCTGCCGTCAAGTGATGGTGCAAAACCTCTATTTGAGAAAAAGGGGGGTGATTGTCACTAACAATATACTGAGAAATTTAAGCAAAAAGGGGTGACTAGTCACCCTTTTACCACCCCTGGATCTGCCCCTGCACATGAAGCAAAGTCGTATAATGAGTGACTAACAATCAATTGAAAACAAAAGAATGGAATTGGTGAGATCTTACACTGATTCGTTGGACGACTAGATGAAGTTTACAAAAACAACAACACACGACACAAGGTTTGGAACAGAACTGAATTTATTTAGCATGCTCAGACTTGACAAACATGCAAACGCTTCCAAATATGGGCATCAAGACTAAATACGGCACAAATGACAGCTTTTAAGACAAATGACAAGTACACATACATTGTTAATAAGATAGACAAAACTGCCGACTAAATTCACATAGCGCTACACCGCACTAAAACCTCAAGACTTGAAATTAGCTAAGGAAGCTTCTCTCTTACAATACTGACATTTATGTTAAAAAGATACAAACTCAAACACATTCTYGATCTTTCACATCAGTTCGCACTGTCACACGACGGCAAGAATACATACCCCTGAGATGATATTAGAACCCCTTGTAATACAAGAACAGTGAAAGAGATACACTGTTGTCTTGACTGGTACAACAGATTCTTCCATTCGGTATCTTGTAATCTCTGTAAAACAATTAACAGAGATGAGGTGACCTGCAGCATAAATGACCTTTGCAGCTTGGGCGTAATGTTTTCCCATATCAGACCACTTGCCATTCCCTTGTGAGTAAGATTCTTTGTTGAGTTGAATCCATATTCATGAGACTTATTCTCATGGACAACCATTAAACAAAGAAATAATACTCTAGGGAATGAAATGGGAAAACATTACGCCCAAGCCAAGGAGGTCCATACAAAAGTAGGTGTCGAGCCACCATAACTGCTAAAAATTACTTCAAACTAAAAATTTATTCATCCATCTTAACTCCGTTCTTTATTTATTCATTCATTTTTTATTTAATTATACATCCTTTTTTTCCCAGTTTATTCTCTCATCTCCTGGTTTTAATATACTTACTCATTCTCATTCATTTATTCATTCATGCATTTATTAATTCTCATTTATTCATATTCTCAGTACAGACTCATACCTTTAGATACCATTTATTCATTTACTTATGCATTCATTAATTCTCATTTACTCTTTACACAGTACAGACCCATACCTTAAATCTTTTCATTTTTTTAGTTACTCATTCATTCTCATTTACCTATTAATTCAGTATATATACCTTTGGATACATCTTTTCAACAATTGCTACCCGTTCATAACACTCCATCAAATACTGCAGGCAATCATCTTGTGTCACCAGAATTCCAGACTTATTCCTTGGATTCCCACAAATTTTTCCCGGCGATGTTCCAAAGAGAGATGAAGGTGAAATACCGTTATGTACAATGCCATCATTGATAACCATCTGTGAGGTTTCTTCGGCTATTGTTGAGCTGTCTATGCTCATCCTAGTATCACTAACTGTATTTGAAGGCAAGATTCTCTCCATGAGGACTTGGTTTATTAGATCCACCATATTGCCATAAGCTGAAATCAAAAGACAAATACAAGAATAAGGCTTGCATTCACTTTGATAAATGGCTTAAAGTCTGGAATTATCTGGAAAATTACAGCTAACTCACGTCACTAGTGACCGGTATTCCTTATCTTTTGTCAGGACTTCCGGCAGCTTTGCTTGAAATTCCAAGTCTAATTGCAAACTACGCTCAAATCTTCAGCAATTCAAATTAATTTTAACTTAAAAAAGATTTTCAAGCTAATTCTCAGTGATGTGTTGGGAAAGGAATTCTTTAGGAACATGCTTCACAGTCATTCATGATAACTAGCCTAYAGGTTTCTTATTAAGGAGGAATTCAGATTCCCTGCTACATGTAGAAGAGCCTATTTTCCTTTTGTTTTGGTTGAAAGGGAAAAAGTAGGATGTTATTTCTGTTGCGCATGCGTGGCGTAACTTAGCAATGCTGTCATGATTTTGATAGCTGCTCTCGTCAAACAATGTTTGGCGCCACGGTGTGTTATATTTGCTCATGCGCACTACATGTAATCGGTTAAAAACCGGTTTTAAAACTGGTTTTGTTCATCCACAACCGTGGACGGCAGTGTATCATGGGAAACGCTCTACATTGGCAGAGTCCTTCCTCCCCACCTGAAAGAAGGGAGAGAAAGAGAAGAGAGACTCTGCTAGCAGGGAACAAGTCAGACTACTGTGAAGTGTCACACTCAAAACAAGGGCAATTTATATGTGATCACATGCACAAAAAAATCTCTAAAATGTGCCTGAAAATGTCTAAATAATCTTACCACTTGATTCATTTTCTGAAAATTCTTGAGCTAAATTTGGAAGATATGTAATGCCAGCAGAAGAATTCTAGAAATACAAATCATACAATGTTCAACAAAATTTATCAATATTTCAATGGTTATATACTAAAATTATAGAATATTATTACCGATTATTACTGTTAATCTTGGATTTATTCTTACCTTCCAAGAAACATTAAATATTTTGGACACAGCAGATAACAAGATCTCTTCTGTAATAGTAACCTGGAAGAATAAAAGGAAGTCAATTGTCAAAAGGAACAAGATGAAGCAGTAGGAAGTAAGTATATGCTGTGTTTCACTCCACAACAGACCAGTGGTGTAGCGGGTTCAAGTCCTACTCAAAGCTTTACTACTGCTTAATAAGTTTTATTTAAACTTCAACACCAGGCAACTGAACCATATATTAAGGGTGACGAAACCATGACTCCAGGCAAGTTTACAAAATAATGTAGTTCGGCTAACCGGACTCTCAGGCGATTTCACCGGATTCCTCTCGTAAAAGTTGGGTCTACTGTACAGTGCGTATCAAGGAAAACTTTATGGTAGTTTATAATATAGTGTCCATAATACAGTCTATATAGAGAAAATTTTTAAGCCTTTGGTTTCTCTTTTGAGCTGCCGGCTTCTATCCTTGAGAAAGATATTTTACATGAAATTCATATCCATTGTATTATCAATGTATTGTGATTATCTTTCATATTCCTCTTTATACAAAATTTTCTCAATATGTAATCTCTTGGATGGAATAATAATTAAAATGATGATGACGAGGTGTACCTAAATAGAGGTTTCACTATATTATGATTGCATAAAAACCCTAAAAATCATTAATAATGAATGGTGCCACACAAAAAAAGTAAAATGTCTGCTCACCTTGGATGACTGTGTGTTAGGACTTGGCTCTGTATCTGAGCTGCTATCTTTTGATCGTTTGAACTTAAACCCATCAGTGGGTGAAGAAGAMATGGTAGGAGAAGACCTCTTTCCCATTTTCTCAGTAACGTCTTGGGAATCCTCAAACTCCAAAGAATGAGGGAAAGAGCCATACCCACTATCCAAGGAGTCAGACTCTGGAGTCGTGCACAATGACTTGGATAAAATTGCATTCTGGGAATTGCACTCGGAAGGCACTGGTGCCGTTGGAGGAGAAGTGGAGAGAGTTGGGGACTGGGTGAGTCTTGCCAGACGTCGTCGTCTTATCTAGAAAGTCAAAAAGTTATTTTTTTATTTTTTTATATTCTAACTCAGGGTATGACCAACTTACAGATCGAATTGAAAATTAATAGGTTGTGTTCAATTTGTGGAGGGAGAAAAACTGGAGAACCCAAAGAAAAACCCTCAAATCAAGGGAGGGATTTTTAACAAGACTTACTCATTGGCTTAACAAGGGCAAGCAAACCAGAAAAAAATATTCTTAAGTTTATATTAAGTGACAATCTAACTAACCAACAAACAAATTGGCCAACATAAAAAACACACACACACACAAAAAAAAGAAAGGCAAAAGTTGGGTTTCAATCAGCTTATACCAGTCTTTGAATCTCATTATCTGCTCCAAATGGTGGTCATATACTGACCACAATGTGTTGCCAACCAAAAAGAATTCAATAACAACTTGTGTTTCAGATGATGAACATTCAATATGAGTCATGAAATGCTGGCAAGTGGGAACAAGCCCTAGACTATTGTAATGGAAAAGAATTATAAAAACTTATATGTTTCTCAGAACCTCCATCATGTTGCACATAGTTTGTTAGTTCATTCCTGTGCTTCAAGGGTTTTTCTCAACATCTGTTCTTAATCCTTTCTCTGATTTTCCTCCCTCCACAAAAATCAACTT